TCTGCTAACCAGCTGCGACAAACAGTGCATGACATAGAAGTTCTTGAACCCATGGCGGCCAGTGCTCACTCGACACTTATGGCCGGAACTTATGACCTGCAAGCTTGCCAATGTGTGCGTCCATGGTCGCTCATAACCGTAGGGTACCACTATTGGAAAATGCTGACTTTCGATGGCCTCCCTTCTAGCTGCGCAATCAGGCATTGAATTGGTCCTGATGCCGCCAGGGATGATTCCGTGGAATACGTTGCTGGAGCAAACAGTTTAACAGGCGCGCTAGTGTCAAACTTCATTGGTATGCGCGCAATTTCGGGTTGTAGCCGTCGCCTCAAAGACTCGGGAAAGTTGGACCAATGAAACCCCATTGGTGTGTGACAAAGTAGGTTATAAACCGCGACTGTTCGCTCGACCACGACGGTCGAAGCTGACTAGGAAAGATGCGTTCCCTTCCTAGTCCCCTGGCGCTGCGATGACTGATGAGGCAATACATAGCGACAACGAAACTTGTGACGAAGCAGCACACTTAAGGACGCGGGGAAACGACGCCGTCAGTTTTGAGGCGCAGCTTGCTTGAGCTGACCGTTGTATTCTTCATGACTGTGTGATTGTCTAAATGGTTACTGCCCCGAGAGCGCATTTTGTCGTACGTGAAGCGACTGTCCGTGAAGTCTGCAGGTGATTGTGCCGGTGCTAGTGAGGTTCGGACGGCTCAAACCGCTAAGTTCAAGCACCGAGCGTCGTGCGTCCGCATTTAGCGGCGCGCACTTCGCTTCTGGCATTTCGCAACAACTTTAACCCATAACCTGCGCTTGCCGCAAGCTCTTGCCTGTTCGCCACGCACCGGATGAGTCTAAGCGAACGTGATCGCTGTGGAGGACGATCGCGGCTGAGTATCATGGGCTAGTCCGCTGCCTTAGTTACAGCACGGCTTATGGAAGGGCACACAGGAATTGGGACGCGGCATGGTTTTTTTTTTTATTGCTCCAGCCGGGTGCTTCCTCAATTGTACCCTTTGGGGTCCACGTTCTGTTGATTCATTCCACCTGCTGTAGGCGACCCTGTACAACGCTCGAACTACCCTGGCTCTCCTATAGGGCTTGTCGGTGCCTGTGTTGTGTACTGGACATTATTGTCGGTCCGTGCTTTTGTGTTTCAATATATTCTTTCGATGTTACCAAACGGTCGTGTGTGACTTCACTCGCTGACACTTGCATTCAAAAGATTTTATGTGTGTCGAGGAGCCTTTTACCCGCCCTATGTTTGTTTGAGAAGCCGATTCGCCGTACTTGATCGAAATTCTGGAGAAGTAATTTTCTTTTTGGGGGTGGGGGTTGTGGTTGAAGTGTTAGAAGATTGAGTGAAGCAGGACTGTCTCCAGCTCCTGGAGACCAATCCTGCTCTCGCTACTTGCTTTTGACGTGTCCTGATGCGACAGTCCTAATGGTTTTTTGGGCGGTTGAGAGGACCGCGCGTCGGCATGGTTTCGACTACCACTTGCTGCGTCCAACATGTGTCACTAGAAATGGTTTGCCAGCAGTAAGTAAGATTCCAACCGTATACGGTCAGGTTTCGTGACGTGGGGTTAGGTAGAGCTTTGGTTCGAGTGGTATACGTCGATTTCAGTAAGGCCTTCGACAGAGTGAATCACGAGATCCTCCTTCAGAAACTGAGGGAGTGCGGAGTCGGAGGCTCGCTGCACCAATGGATCCGTGACTTCTTAGTTGGACGGAAGTGGAGGGTGCAAGTCGACAGCCACCTGACCGACTGGTACCCGTCGACGAGCGGCGTTCCTCAGGGGACGGTGCTTGGCCCCATTCTCTTCCTGATTCACATCAACGACGTGCCCAATCTCCTTCGGTCGCCGTGTGCCTTGTTCGCGGATGACCTGAAGCTATGGAGCGTGATCCATACGTCGGACGACTTTGACATACTTCAGCAGGACCTCGACCGCCTCTCCATGTGGTCCGCCGAAGTAAGTTTGCCTATCAACTCGGCAAAATCGCTACTTCTGTGCCTCGGTAAAGGTGGAGCGGGCCGATCGTACACTCTCGACGGCCAAGTTCTACACCCGACGCATTGCGTCAGAGACCTTGGCGTTATACAACGTTACGACATGAAGTCACTGGACAACACGGACAATATGTATCGCACAGCATTGCGTTCGCTGTGGGCGCTGAAACGTAGCTTCTGCACCTGGTCGAGAGAGATTGCCACTCGTCTCTTCACATCCATTGTACGACCGGTGCTAGAATACGGCTCACCCGCCTACTGTCTGTTGACGAAAGGCGAGATACACAAGCTCGAAAGAGTACAACACATAGCCACACGGCTCATTCCCGGTCTTCAGGGTGTGCCGTATGAAGAAAGATGCAGACAATTGGGTCTGTATACTCTAGCCTACCGCCGCGTGCGAGTGGACCTCATCATGACCCATCGGGTATTGCATCTGCGTGCTTATCCGATGCTGAGGCCACTGCTCCATGTCCGTGCGTCAAGCAGCACACGAGGTCACCAGTACAAACTGGTAGTCCCTGACCTCAAGTGGGTAGCTCATCCCTTGTGTCTTTAGCGGCGAGTGGTGAACATGTGGAACCGTTTGCCCTCGCGGATAGTAGAAGCGAACTCGGTGTCGGAATTCAAACGATTCCTGGACGCGCACTTTGCGGATGCCAGATTCGACGAAGCCTTCACAGGAAACTGACGAAGGAATCGTTCAATGATTATAACCCATGGAGCCCGTTAATCCACCAACTGCAGCTTCCGAAACGATGCCCATCCGTAATAGGCGGCGGAGCTGGTGAAGGACTCCATGTGGTTCATCCAAGAATATATATTATATATATATATATATATATATCGTAAGTACATGGAGATTTTTTCTATGCTTGTAAATATTTTACTTTTTTCACCTGGGCTAGCTCACTACTACAGGTAACACTGTGTCAGTGGGACATGTCCTACATTGAGATATAGCTACATAGATGTTCAACATCTTTCTCGCTATCATGACAGTAAAGTAAGTAAAGTAAAGTAGCGTGTCAGATGCTGAGTGATCTCTGGGTGGAGACGGAACATGATGCGGTACCGCGAAGACCACAAAGGTAGCAATCTAGCCGATCCTGCCTTATCCTCGCACGATAGTCAGCTATTTAAGACTGGGAACTGTTGACAAGGTGTAGGCAGCTTTACGGCAGCGAAGCATCAGATCAAATGGCAGGGGTATTACTACTGTTGATTAATGACGTAAGTGTTTTGAACATGAATTGGTGCGTTTAGGTTATACAATAGCCCCTATCTGTCTTGCTGCTCTCCATTTAACAGGTGACTACTGTTGTACGGTAGAGAAAGAACAGTTTAAAATACTGGTGCATCGCCGTTTGTGAAGATGAGAATGACCATTCTGGTTAGTAGATCCGTGATAGTTTCTCGGATAGGCAGGGGTATGTACAATAAGTAAGGGAGTTGAAAGAAGTACGTTAATGAGGATGTACCATGTATTTCGATGGTCATCCAATGGGTGACTAAACCGTTTCTTTGAGGCTAGTTTCCGGCGCGGTTCCTGCATCAAGTGGGCGTACGGAAATCGGAGGATTTCTGCAATTTACGTAGTAAAATTCGCCACATGGATCCAGCAAAATGTGCATGGACGTGGTACAACGACGCCGATACGTGAGGGAGGATGCAGGGGTCCAAAGATTCCAACATTCATCTATGATGGTAAAATAACTTCAAAATATCTACTGCAACGTTGCACCCATAAAAAATAAGTTGTTTGACCTTATCTTCAAATTGATCTCGCAACCACCCATGCCTGTGTTGTACACTAGTCGTCGCAGTTGAAAACAGATGTTTTCAATTGCAAGTGGGACCGGAACAGTAGAAGGATCCCGTTAATGTTCGACGTTGTGAAACGTCTTTGATCCTAGAGTGAAATATGTGGAGCAATCTGCATGGAGCCACAGGCCATATAAACCAGCTGTCCTTGCGTTTATTTCGTGGTCCGTGGTTACCGGCGTAACAGTTAGCACTCGGTCGACTTACGCACGAAGCACTAAGCATTGCTAAATTAATGACCGCCACTAAGCGCGCAGATCGCAATATAAGGAGTGAAGTCAAAAAATTTGAAGCAGGCAAGTAGCGTCGTGCTAAGTGGACGAAATAGAAAAACAGCAGGCTATAGAATAAGTAAGGTAGAAAATCAATGAAACAGAGGCTAAGATTGGTTCAAACCACTTAGGAAATAACCACATACCGTTGCAATAACTGATCGATTTCAGTGGTCAGTTTCACTGAATCCGGCTTTTCAAAGTCTGGAACCTTCTCTCGGCCACTTTCTAAACCCGAGACAACGAAATGGGGCGAGTTACTGCGATTCTCCTGCAGCGTTCCCGTCATAGATTTCAGTAGGTCAGTAGAACGGGGATTAATAGAACTAAATGCTGTCAATTTTGCATCGAGATCGTTCTCTATATCCCGCGCTTGGCGCCTTAATTCTTCCCAGGTGAACGGGTTCATCTGCCCGACGGCCTTCGAGGGCCGAGTCCAGACAGGCGCGCACTTAAACTGGCAAATTTGACCTAGAAAACGCAGCACAAAGCAACTTGACAAGTGCTCCCGATGACCGCGGACAAGAGATAGGGTGTATATGTTTTCCCAAGGTTGCTTACTTGTATTTTTCCAGCTATCACCACTAGGTTCCAATGCCAATATGACTCACAATTGCAACCGATCGCCTTGTCAACTTTCTGAAGGAGCTGAAGTAGATAGCGGGGTATCCTTGTTCTTCCCACATTTCAGGAAAGCACGTACTTAGGTCTTGTTGGTTAGACACGTCAGGGTGCTTCACATGACGCCGGTGGAGTATAGTAAAATAGATGTAGAAGCATTTTAATAACAGTAGGAATCATGGACACATCGCAAAATGGACGATTTCAGTTTCATGAAAGCACGGCTATAATGGGCTACAGTAGAAGAGCGGTGATTCTGGCGCACCTTACCAACAAGGCGATGGTGGACGATTCCGGATCCTTTGAGCGCATTTTGCGCTCCTTTTCTCGTAAACACCAAGGTTTAGTGGATGTGAAAAAATTCCAACTGGAAACAGCCTCCTCGGTCTATAGATATATAGTGGTTTCACGGGAATTCCACGAGAGGTAGACGGGTGAGGGATTATCCGAAGGCTATCCGTACCGCTATGTGCAATTCCGGTGTCTGCACCGCCCACGCATAGACGTTATTGACAAGAGGTAAGTGATGTTTGGTCATCTACTGGTATGTATTGCATGCCGTTCTTTTCAGTTCAAATGGGACTGGAACGATTGAAGAATCCCGTGAGTGTAACATTTTGAGTGGATCGTTGAGCCAGGAATTGATGAAGTGCTCAGTTATTGCTGGATCTAAAACGGTATACCCGTATCGCACCCTGGCCAACCAGTTAAGGTCCATGTTTCCTGCCCTGGCAGTTGCTACTGTGGCAGCCACGTGAAGTAAGCAAAGGGTTAGAAGAGAAATCGAAGGTACAGAATAACGAAGTGCACTTTAAATAAGAAAATAATGCTAATGCGCGAAGAAAAGTAGAGAAAAGAAAATCGAAATACGAATATGCGGTTTACTCAGGAAAATGGAGATTTTCCGTGTTGCCACCCAGGAGCGTCAAGTTGCCGCTCAAACCCCTTAACCGTAGATTCCCTGATAACACTTTCCGGAAGCATGTTCCAGCGGTCGATAACTCGGCGTGTCAGCCGGATTTCCGCCCTAATCCGATCGGATTGCGCTTTTTCCAGCTTCAAGGAATGACCGCGTCGAACAGACAATCTAGCGGGACTAAATAGCCAAGGTAAATCTGGACCAACCTTCCCAGTTAAGATCCGGTAGGTTAGGATTGGGTCTCCTCTAAGTTTTCGGCCCTGCATTGAATAGCTCCTCAAACTAAGTAGACGCTCGGGATACGTCCATCCTCGTAATCCCTCGACTAACCTAGTACACACTAGTAAAACCCTCTCTAGCTCCATTTTGTCCCTGACATGGCAGGACGGACAAGCCTGGACGCAGTATTCCAGATGAGGCCGAACGAAAGTCGAGAACAGTCTCGTAACGATGCCTCCAGTCAAGGCTCCGAACGCACATCGTATTAAACAATATATGCGGAAACCTCTGCTTGCGGCCTTTTCCAGTTGTCGCCGGAGAGTAAAGCTGAAGTGTGTACGCCCCTAGGTCAACCTGGCTAGACACACGGGGGCGTTCGACGCCACCGACCACATAATTCGTTAGAGGACAACCTCCTCCAATTCGAAGAACGGAGCACCTTGCCTGATTTATGGGAAGTAACCATAAAGTAGACTAGTCCCAAAGCTTAGCCAACACCCGCTAAATAGCTTCGGAACCCCCAGGAACATCAACAAGGTTTCACATCGTCAGGTCATCAGCCAATAGCAGCGATGGTACCTCAACCACCGCAGGTAGGTCATTCACATAGATAGGACAGCAGCGGTCTACCGGACCGAGCCCTGCGGCAAGCCACTGAGAACAGACTGCCTAAACTATAGGCCCCGGCCTACACGCACACACTGTACTCCACCCTCCAAGAAGGCAATCACCCAATGAAGGGCGCGGCCAGACACCCCGTAGGTCAGTCTTTACGCGAGCTACAAATGGGGTACCTAGTCAAATGCTCTCGAAAAGTTGACGCCAAGCACATCCAGTTCGTGGTCGTTATCCACTGCATCCAACCAACTTTCGCGAGCCACCAGTAGATTCGTCAGGCACGAAACTCCCTTCCGGCAGCCGAGTGTTGTACATCGCTACGCAGATGACTCTAAAATGAAACTATCTTTAGCTTTCCTAGGAGTTTGCCCACTACACTGGTCAGACTAACTGGTCTATAATTTGTAGGCAGACTCCCGTCTCCATTTTTGAAGATGGAACAGTTGCCAGCTCCCTTCAATTCGAAGGCAATGCACAGATGTGTTAGGGAGC